TCCTCGTATGTGTAAACATACCTGGCAATAAAGCTCATTCTGATTCTGATTCTGATTATTCTGAAATGTTCCATTGAAAATGAAAATAAATGTCTTAGTATTTTCTGTCACTTGTTAACACTTGTAAAACCTGAAGATCATGTGATCCTGCATGATTTGAGAATGGTTCAAACAAAGACAACCTTGTGTTTCAGTGAAAGCAAGAACATCTGACCTTTTAAAACTGGACCTAGAATTAGTGGAGAATTCTTATTCCTTTTATGTTATTAAGTTTCGTTGCTTGAAATGTTTCAAAGTCCTCCTGCTTTTCCATGTTTAAATTGGAGGAATCCCAGATTTTCAATGGGGTCTCAGACTTTTGGGACCCCTTGTACTGTATGTAGCCATGCAAATGGTACCTGGGCTCTTAAATCATTGCCTGAGGAGATGAAAGCTCTTCTTGTCAGTGTGTGGAGCACCTTAAATCATATCTCTCTTTCTCTCTTTCCTCAGGGTCAGAGACCAACTGACTGATGTGGTCAAATCTGCCGCCAAGTAAGTTACTAATTCTGCTGATATTCTTAGTTTTGTTCTTTTTTCTTTGTTTTTTCCCCCCCACAAGACCCTTGTTTTCTCTTTTCTAAGCTAAAAGATTAAACTATCGATTTTTTTTTTTTTTTCTCAAAATGTTTTATTAGTAAATAGTGTGTTTTATATTCAGAATCTGCCGTTTGCTTTTATTCACTGTAGTCTCTTAGGAAAGTGCTTTTTTTTCAGTGCTTTATCGATTAAATGTAAGCTTATAATTGCTCACAATCCACATTTTTGGGCCTGTTTTCAGCATCGATGATAGTAATCATTCAGCATTGCCGCAGTGTGTTCTGTTTAAAATCAGCCTATATGTGGATTAATATTTTATCATTTTGTCTCCATTATGACAGAGATAGTCCAGTTGTTCAAGGTAATTCTATCCTGGCACTAAGTGGCCTGGCTGTTGTCTTAACCAGATATGAGAGCAACCTTCCTACACAGTCTGAAAGTGGACTTGAGGTTAGATGCAGCTTTATTATTTCGTTTCTATTGCGACTACCTATCATTTACTGGCTTTTCTTCTTTTTCAAAAAAAAAAAAAAACCTAGAAAACTTTCCAATAAACTATAATTTCTATTCGTAGGTGGGTCCAGACATCCTTCCCACAGTTCACTGGCTGACGATGGTGATTGACACACTGCTCAGCATTGTTAGCAGTAACAGTAACCCTAAAGGACAAGTCTTCCCATGGTTCATTCATGTGAGTTATAACTCCCTCGGGTGGGGTGTTCAAGAAATCATTTCAATGATTTTTACAGATTCCACTATTGGTGCAGAAAGTACACACTGCACCTTATTTAAAACCTTTAAATATTATGTGTTATTAAAGCATATGCTATGAAAGTCTATAATATTGCACCTTCAGCTAGTAGTAATACCATATTGGTAACGCATTACAATAAGGTTCGATTTATTAACATTAGTTAATGCATCAAGAGCTAACATTATACTAGCATTACATAACACAAATATAATTATATTAATGTTGACAACTTCAAATTTTACAAATGTATTAGTGTACAGTATATGTAGAGACTAACATTAACCTTCATGAATAAATGCTGAATAATTATTGTTCCTTGTTGGTTCATGATACCTACACTACTGTTCAAAAGACTGGGGTCATTTTAGTTACAATAAATAATATTCAGCAAGAACACGTTAAAGTGAACAAAAGTGAAAATAAAGACATTCATACATTCATGATATTACAAAAGAATTCAAATAAATTATGCTCCTTTGATCTTTTTCATCAAAAGAATCCTGAAAAATGCATCACAGTTTCTAAAAATATTGAGCAACACGGAGAGTAATGAAATTATGAAATAAATTCAACATTTAGATGTTTTAACAGTATTTTTTGATCAAATAAATGCAGATTTGGTGAACATAAGAGGCTTCTTTTAGAAAATCTTACCAACCCCAGACTTTTGATCAGTAGTTTGATGGGTATTGTTCATTAACAAATGAAACCTAATAACAAATTTTTCCCTATATTATAACTCAAAAATGACATTCACATTTTAGCGCTCATACTTGGGTGAGAACACAGCGAGTGTGATCGCGCACTCCTGTGCTGCTCTGGGTCTGGCGTTGTTGGTGCCGGTGCTGGTAACCTCGTGCAAAAAGAATATTCCCGCTATACTGGGCACTCTAGCGGCAGGGCTGCCAGGCTCGCCCTCCGCAGACGAATCTCAGGCACTTCAGTTTCACAGCGGCCTGGCTCTGGGCATGTTTCTAGCGTGGCTGCATGATGAGAGAGTCAGGTGTGTGCTGAGTGATACCATGACAGAGAACTCCAGTCTACCCATAAAACAGAACTTCAGCTTATTACCTGACAATTTTAATAGCTATATCATGTTTACTTGTTTTTTGTTTACTGCAGTGATATAGCTGGGCAGTCAGTAGCAGAGCTGCTAGTGAAACATCTGGAACGACTGGAAGATTGTTGCTTTAATCCCAATCTGGATTACAAGTTAGTCTATCTAATCTGATTTTAGTGTTAACTACAACTGTACAACTTAGTTGTAGTTGTTAGCTAAGAAACTAAATCCTTATTGCACACACACACACACACACACACATACACGCATGCACATATGAAATATTTATTTATGAGTTATATTCTTCATTTCCCCTGTACACTAACAGACTCTTAAATGTTTGTTTGCTCTTTGTCTCTCTCAGTTCTGGTTGTGTGTTAGGTGTTGGCTTGGTTCTGAGCTCTCTCAGTAGCAGTAGTCAGTCTGAGCGGGACGGTGTGCATGTGTCTCTCACGCTGGACAGACTCCTGCAGACCCTGCAGGACAGCAGCAATATGAGCCTCATGCTGCAGGAGGTAAAACCATATTGACTGTGGTGTTGTCAGGTGACGTCTTGAATCTTTAGTTGAGAAATGGCTTGGTATTTTGCCCCTTCTTAATACTGTACATTTGCTCAAAAATTCCCAAAATGGGGTTCGTGATGGCACTGCAGGGGGTTAGTGAGTTGATGAAAACCTAGTAATTAATAAAATCATAAAAATGTGAAATTAAAATAAATAGATAATAATAAAAACAATCAAAATACTTAATAAAAAGCATGTTCTATTTTATTTGTTTACCTGCATGTCATGTGACCATTAAAGGGATAGTTCACCCAAAAATGAAAATTCTGTCATTAATTACTCACCCTCATGTCGTTTCAAACCCGTAAGACCTTCGTTCATCTTCGGAACACAAATTAAGATATTTTTGATGGTATCTGAGAGCTGTCTGACCCTGCATAGACAGCAAAGCAACTGAAATGTTCCAGTTGTGAAAAGTATTCTCGTAGCTTCGTAAAATTACAGTTGAACCCCTGATGTCACATGGATTATTTTACAGATCTCCTTGCTACATTTCTGGACATGGGAACATTTCAGTTGCGTTGCAGTCAATGCAGGGTCAGACAGCTCTCAGATACCATCAAAAATATCTTAATCTGTGTCCCGAAGATGAACGAAGGTTTTTTGGGTGAACTAACCCTTTAAGCAACATCAGCATCAGCAAACCACGAACATGCAAATGTGTTGAAATAATAGCTTAAAATCTCAAATATCAAGTAAATATTTTAGGAATGACAAATATTTTCAGCTGACAAAAAAAGTTTTGCAATTCCTGCTTAAGCTGAACGATGTTTACAAATTGACACACATTGATGGTGATGACAGAATTTTTACTTTAATGCAGTGAAAACACACAAAAAAAATTCCATTACTTACAACTAAATACTTTTAGTGGCAGTCATTTTTGTGCATCCAAACATTTCTTGTGTCTTTTATGTGTTCTGTCGGGTGTCAGGTTTTGGCCTATTCTGTGGCGTGTGTTGCAGTTTCAGCATTTAGTGCAGGCATTATTGAGGCCAGTAAGGCTGAGGAAAGCATGAACACACTTCGCACCCTAACAGAGGAAAGCCAACAGGTGAGAGCTGAAATCGTCTGTTTATAAGGAGAGTCATGCATTAAGATAAAAGCTATTTTAAAAAATGTTATAACTGTCTTCCTTGATTAAAATTAGTAGCTATTAAGTTTGATATTAGAACTAAGTTTGGTTTTGTATTAAATAAGATATTTTTGTTGTGTTTTTGCACATGACTGTTTCAAAACAAAATATTTGATTCACACTTTATGGCATTTATTCTGGGGTTTTTTTAGACACCAGGCTTTGCTTTGGCATTGGGACTCACAGTGTTTGGACTCTCTTCTTTTGGTCATGGTAAAGCGGTGGACATCCAGCCTCGTCTGCTGGCTGCCTGGACCAAGATACTGCTGGCAGAGGTGAGGTGCCATTGTTCGGTGAATCATATTGGGCGCCAAATGTATTGTTATTTCCATATGTTATGCATATTTTGCCTTTACACATGCAAGGCATGCTGGTCTTATTTTTATGTCAGACAACCACTTTATTATCCATACCAAAGCTGCTTTGGTTAAAAATGTCAGTGGGAAGTGAAAAGAAACAGTCGACTTAATGCAGTTTGTCTCCCTGACTAGTGAGAAACAATGTGTTGTTGTGCCATAGTAAGTGAACTATATATCAGGATCTGATCTAAGGCACAGGTCCAGAATTTAGGGTTAAGTTTTTCTCTTCCCAGTGTCTTAGTTTTGATCTAGAAATCTCAGGCATCAACACTAAATCTCAGCTTTCATGAGGGAGAACCTAAACTGTCATTTTTTATCTTTCTCCAGGGTTGTCCCACAATGCAGAGGCTGTCTGCCCTCAATGGACTGATCGCATTAGTGGGATCGGAGATGACTCTCGTTCAGGTAATTTAATGTGTAATTCGTGCTTATGTCAAGCCTTGTGTTATATTTGTACCTGGCAGGATGCAAGAGACTGTTTCAGTTTAAGATATATGTGTTGGCATTCAGCACCTTCAGTGCAAGACTTGAAAATAACACACTAGCAGTGTAATAAATCTTACTTCCTACAGCTAGAATGTTTTTTTTCCCCCATCCTAGTGAATGTTAAATATCACGAAACATCACTTTCTCGTATATTACCCTGCATTAAGTCCATTATCGTATGTTGAGGTGCCATTAGTGATAGCAGTTAAATGCCAGTCTCGTATGGACACTGCCCTTTTCACACACACCTGTGCCAGGCTGCTCTTTGTGTGGCAAATTACACTCCTCCGTGCCCACCCACTTTCCAGACACTCATACACATACACACACAGCGAATGCTGTCTCGCCTTTTTAAATGCAAATGCCACCATACTTGGAAGGTAGCCAGGAAGTGTCGCCATAGTAATGGTGGGACTTGACAGAGGTCTGCCAGGATTTTCTCTCAGTGTGAATCAGAGCCTTGTGAATGTCTCGGATTACTCTGCCGCCCCACAGATGAAAAGATTTGTGTTAATGTGTCTTTAAGCAACTTAAAGTCACTGAATAAACACTTTAAAGCACTTTAAAGATTCGTTCTTGAATTAAAATTGTGAATGTAGCTCATTAAGCTGGTGACTGTTCCTTTCAGATCTAAACTTGTGTAAATCCCCTCAAACCAGTGACCCTAACAAACAAGATTTTAAAAACTGATTGTTCTCTTTTTAGTTCAACTCTGTTTACTAACTTTGTGCAAGGACAGGTAAGGAAGCAGATCTCAGCAATTATATATCCGTAAAAGTTAGCTGCTGGGGAAAGGTGAATGTACTATGGCAGTAACAGTAGCTGGCCACATGAGGGTACTGTAGGGTTCAAATAATGTCAAAATGTCAAAACAAATGAATCCTTTCTGACACTTTAAATTCGTTTTAATAACTGAACATTATTGGACAATACAACTTTTAATTAGTGAAAACAAAATCAGTAGGTTTATAATTTGTCTTAAAGCTGAATTTTTACATGTTTTAAATGGTTAAATAGTAAAGTAGATAATTAAAGAGCAGCATAATATGTATTTTTTTATATGCATAAGTAATGTAATGTCAGTAGAATTGGTTATGTTTTTAAAAGAAGTCACCAAGGTTGCATTTATTTGATCAAAAATACAGAAAAAAAAGTAATATTGTAAAGTAAATTACAATTTAAAATAAGTCTAAAATAATCAATGTTTAATGCTTAATTTTATGTGAAAACCATAATACTGCTTTCAGGTGATGTATTAAACTCAATTTCAAAAAATTGACCCTTATGACTGGTTTTGTGGTCCAGGGTCACATATATTCATAGACTTTTACTGTGTCCTAGAACCCTTTGACCTTCAGAAAGTGTGTTTTTTATCTCCATTAGCTGAAGAGTGAATCAGAGGAGTCCTCACAGCAGCAGGGCAGACTGAACGAGGTCATCCGAGCCATTACACAGGTTAGAAATCATGCATTTGAAATACATCAAAAATATGTTTATAAAGTCAAATATGTATACTGGAAGTAAAACAATGCTTGGAAGTAAGTTAAGTGTTATTTTATTTTTATTGTTTCTTGCTCTCATGCCCATCCTCTCCACTAGATCATCACCTTTTCAGGAACAATAGGTCTGCAGTCTAACGGAGCATGTCTGCTTGGACACCTGCATCTGGCCCACATGTCCAGCAGCCACAGTCGAACCTCAGGTGAGATTCAAAATGCCCAGTCTTCTGTCTTTTTTATTCTAAACTACTATTGTTATTGTTGTTGATGATGATGATGATAATGATAACAATAGTAATAATAAAAAAAAAATAATAATAATAATATAAAAACACTATTATTTTGTTACTTTTATGTTAATTATTATTATTGATGTTGATAATAATATATCTAAAAGTCTTTTTATTTGAACAAAATGTATATCACTATTAAAAAATATGTATATAAAAAATATGTTAAAAATGTAAATGAATATTAAAAATAATATTTTAGTTTCTGATGTAGTTGTTATTGATCATATTAAATCATAGATGTTTTTAAATACAAATAATACTATCAAATAATAATTATTATTGTGGTTTCTGTTGTTGTTAATAATAAAATAAATAATTACATAATAAAATTTTATATAAAAATATATTAATACAATAATAATAATTGTTGTTAATAATAACTGTTAATAATAATAATAATTTATAAAATAAATAAAATATATATATTAATTTTATTGTTACTAGTACTAACAATAATCATAATAATTAATAAATAAATAATCCACATATAAAGTACTGATACTGTACAAATGGTCATTCACCGGTGAAGAAGACCAATCAAACATACTTTTTCAACCCGCTTTAACAGTTCCTCAGGACTTTGGTTATCTCCCAGAGAAAAGTGTCATCCGAGCTTCAGTAGACTTCATCACCGAAGCAGGAAGGAAAGGTAACACACTATCTAATGCTAATATCTAATAAAAAGTGATTCCATTGCTTACTAATGTTGTGATTCTGTACAGGACCTGAGTTCACTCTTCCACACCTAGTGAAGACAGTGCTGGCAGCTTTAGGGACGGTCGGTGGAAGCTTCCAGTATCCTCCAGTCAACTGGAGTGCCATCCTCTCTCCGCTGATGAGACTCGGCTTTGGTGAGCTTCCTGTTCGTCATCGTCGTGAATTAGTCTTCTGTAGGAAATACCCTATTGTGTCATTTCTGAGGATGTATGATGTTGAAGTGCTCACCTGTGCCTGTCATAGGTGAGGAGGTGCAGCATCACTGTTTAGCGTTAGCTGCCAGTCAGGCCCAGTCTTCCCAGAGTGCCTCACTTTTCCTCGGCATCTGGCTTGTGCCTCCCCTGGTTCACAGCCTGAGTGTGGGTATTTCTCTCTGTGTATGTCTCTCATGTCTCTGTCACACATTAGTGTCTCTTTGGTGACTTCATACAGACTTATTGATGTTAAAATGCTGGGTTTTCACTTATAAATAAGATATTTTAGTTTGGTTAATTGTCACTGTCGCTCTTTAGTAGTAGTGAACTTTTTCACACAAGTGCATCTTTTGAGCTTGGGCCACTAAGAAACCACCTACCACCCTCCCAGAATGCCATAGCAAATCAAATTTCATTTGAACCAAATTTCATTTTCAATTACAATTATAACTTCCAACTATTATGAAAATTAAGTTATTATTGTTTGCAACAGTGTTTTAGTTTTGTCTTGTTCTATATATTGAATATGTTTTGTAGTTTTCAGAAAGTTGTGGAAGTACGCTACAACATAGATGCTTTTTATCTATTTTTATTTAATTTAAATGTGTTGATAGATAGATTAGATAATATATATATATATATATATATATATATATTATTTTTTATTTTTCTGTTCAGTTAAAAGCAGCTCTACATGGCGTCCAGTTTTACACGTGCAATTTTCTTTCGAAAATTTCTAAATCTAATTTTTACTAATTTGTTAGACATTATCCCTTTTGAAAGCTTTGTAAAGTTTAATGTTATTTTCAGAGATGCTTAAAAGTAAAGTAGTAATTAGTAGCTAATTATCTCATAATGTTATCATCTGCGAGAAGTTCATCGTGGCTTTTCTGGCTTCAAAATATCACACTGTTTTGTAATTTTCTCTGTCTGCAGTCATTTTCTTAATTTTCTCAACATCTGTACGCTCCACAGCTCCGCACTAGGGCTTCTCTCTACGAGTGCCTGAGCTCCTGGATGAAGCACGTGGCTGAAGACAAACTGCAGGTGCATGTGGACAGTCTGGCAGTCCAGCAGTTTGTGCCCGGCACACGTCCTCAGCGCCTGCCCCTGTGCCTGTCCATCCTGCGTGGGCTGTCCAAAGCCATGGCGGTCCCCAACCCGCCACAGAACTGCTGGACTGCCCTGTGCTCCACCACTGAAAATATCTATAACCTCTTACCTGATAATATACCTGTATGTCCTAGCAATCTGTAAGATGTTTTATAGTCATATTGTTGACCAAGAACTCGAACATTTAGCCAGTTCTGCTGCTGTCCAGATGTGATGTTTTTGGGTTGTTCTGTAGGCTGGTGAACTGGACCTGTATGAAGCCATGTGTTCATGCCTGTCTGAACTCAGCGACACTGAGATAGACCGCATAGTCAAAGTCACTGAGGTATTATATAACTCCGTAATGAATTATAGGTTTATAAATCTGATTGTGTTGAAATGTATCATGATATGTAGTCATACTATCTCGCCTCAGGGTAATGAACCCATTATTTCACTTTGCAAGCACAAGATGCATAAAAAAAGACAAAAAACAATAATGTCTGAGGGATGTCTGAATATCCAAATGAAATGCCTGCTGTCTTTCATTAACATGTACATAGTGAATTTAACAATGAATTTATTGCATTTATATTTTTTTATAGACATTTTCATAACACATTAGCAGAAATGAAGTATTTTATTGTAATGTCTTTTATTTTTATATCTTCATCTTTCTCACGAAGATGCCTACTGGACTATCCCTAACCATGTGCTTCCAACTACTTGTTATTTTATGAAAATATGATTGTTTTGAAAAATACCAGTTCTATTAGAAGCAGTAACAGTAGTTTAGATGTTCTGGCATCAGCAAAGACTTTGATTAATTTATTTCCATTATTACAGAAATTCTGCCTCCAGGCAACACGTCTTAAAAGGATCCCAAAATATTTTTTTTTTCTTAATTTGTTGTTGGTTTTAGTAATGAGGCTCATTTTATTAAAGAAAATTGAGTCAGATTTTTTTCCCCTCTTCAAATATAATGCATGCATAATGCGTAAATGTTTGCAGTGATGAATAGTTATGCTTTCATCCATGGAAGGTTTTCTTCTCCTATCATGATAATTAATGATAATCATAATTCATGGCAAGAGCATGGGACAGCTTCTGCTGTTTTGTAATTTATCATGTAATATTACAGCCATTTCAGAGCAATTTACAAGTTAAATTACTTGCTCAAAAGTACTCTGACAGTGGCTAGACATTAAATCAACAGATATACATACAACCCCACACAGTTCTCTCTGTTTTTGGGCTCCGTCTACAGGCTAATGTGGAAAAAACAGCTTTCATCCTATCCTACCTGACCTCTAAAGGCAGAGTCCCTCTCCTCGGACTCGATGTCATCAGTACCATCCTCCAGGTGGGGAATAAGAAACAAATCAGATGGCTTCTCCTGCAGGCCCTCCACCAATCACGCTTCGCCTCTAGTCCCAATGCAGGTATGTTAATAATACTAATGTATATAGTAGTAAAATATTTTCAGAAAAAGGTGCACTACTGTTCAAAAGTTTGTGGTCAGAAAGGAATGAATTCTTTCATTCACCAATAATATATTAAATTGGTCAAATGTGACAGTACAGATTTGATTTTATTAAAATTATATTTTAAATAGATGCTGTTATTTTTACTTTGTTCGTCAAAAAATCCTGAAACAATATATCACTTTTTCCACAAAAATATTAAGCAGCTCAACTGTTTTGTAATTATTATTATTTGATATAAGAAATGTTTCTTAAGCAGCAAATCAGCATATTAGAATGATTTCTGAAGGATCATGTGACACTGAAGACTGGAGTAATGATGCTGAAAATCCAGCTTTGCGTCACAGGAAAAAATTACAGTACATTTCAAAGCATTAAATAGAAAACAGTCATTTTAAATTGTAATAATATTTAAAGATAGATAGTTTAAGTTGCTTTTTTACTGTATATTTGATCAAATAAATGCATCCTTGGAGGTCCAAAAAAATTTTACTTGCCGCAAATTTTTAATGGTGGTGTATATACCTCTATACAATACTACTATAATTAAAACCATTAAAACCATTTTCATTACTTGGAATAAAATAGACATTAACTGAAACATTATATATATATATATATATATATGTGTGTATATATATATATATATGTGTGTGTATATATATATATATATTTCAGCTAGTTGCCAATGCAACATTTCTCATATTTAGTTTAAATCAATGTACTAAAAAACTAAAACTGAAAAAAAATATGAAAAACTATATAGACTTTTTTTTTTTTTAATGACAAAAAAATATAAAAACATACAACAAAATTAAAATGAAAATGGAAAATATAAAAATAAAAGCTGGTTCAAAATATTAATAAAAATATTATATATTATCTCAATATTATATATTATCTCAATGATGCTAAAATAATACTGATTCTTATATGTTACAAAGTTACAAGCCACTGCCTGTGTTTTCCGTTTCCATTAACCATTTTAAGTGCCTCCTTTTTGATGAACTTGAATCATGTAATGTTGATTCAGAAAGCACGATGTTTTGTTTGTTTTCAGGGGTCTCTAAACGAATGGAGTGGCTTTTGGAGTTAATGGGCCACATCAGAAATGTTGCATACGGATCTCCTTCTGTTAAATGTGTCCGTGTTATAGAGGTATGTGCAGTATAACTGCGCTGCAAAATCTGTTGGTTGTAATTTATTGGGCTCTGGTTTCTTTTAGGTCGATTTACAATCATATGTGGATTTGCCTCTAAAGAGTAGTCGCTGCCATCTGCAAAGTGTTTTTGGTTGCCTTGCTGTAGGCCTAATGATAGAAACGGTTCTTTTCTCTATAAAACAGCAGCAGGAAGCAAGATACTACCCGTGCACTGACTTAAACGTTATGTCTGCCATCATTTTGCAGGGCACAGACTTCCTCCTCAGTGTGTTTGCTGCGGTAGTGGTGTCTTGGGCTGACCATTGTGCCCCACTTCTCATTGGAATCAGGGCCCAGTGGTTTCCCTGGCAACAGTCCTCTCTGACAACAGAACTGTCCCATGACCTCTGTGTCAACCCTGCTATCACAGAACTGTCGATCACGTCATGCCTACTTGCAATCCCATGCAGCATGAAACAACTACTCGCCAAAGAGCCGTGGAAATCCCAGTCACAGAAGGCATGGAAGCTTTTATCTCTCGTTTCACAGCTTAAAAATGTGTAGTTCTGCTGAATGTTTTTTTAATTCTGCTTAGAAAAATACAAGTTGCACAATTAAGGTATTCATGTCCATTGCACAAATCATGCGGATTGAGTAACAAAATTGTTACCAAATTGTAACACTTACAATCCACAACTCTTAAAGGGTTAGTTCACCCAAAAATGAAAATTCTGTCATTAATTACTCACCCTCATGTCGTTCTAAACCCGTAAGACCTCCGTTTATCTTCGGAAAACATGAAGATATTTTTGATGCATTCTGAGAGCTCTCTTTCCCTCCCATAGACAGCAATGTAATTACCACAAGACAAAAAACACGAAAACACCTTTCTGTCGGGAGAGAGAGAAGCCGCAGCGTGTGAACGCGCCGCCATCTTGAGCGTAACTCAGTAACAGTGAATATTGAATAAAAACAGTAACAGTGAATATTGTTGCAATTTAAAATGCATTCAGTTTTCTATTTGAATATATTTAAAAATGTAATTTATTCCTGTGATGGCAAAAGCTGAATTTTCAGCAGCCATTACTCCAATCTTCAGTGTCACATGATCCTTCAGAAATCATTCTAATATGATGATTTGCTGCTCAAGAAACATTTGTCATTATTATAAATGTTGGAAACAGTTGTACTGCTAGATATTTTTGTGGAAACTGATACTTTTTTTTTTCAGGATTCCATGAATAGAAAGTTCAAAAGAACAACATTTATATGAAATAAACTTTTATATGAATTTACTGTCAGTTTTGATCAAGTTAACGCTTCCTTTATAAATTAAAGTATTCATTTCTTAAAAAAAAAAAAAAACTTCTCAACCCCAATCTTTCTTTCTTCATGCCATCAGTTCATCGACTGGCTCTTCAGTATTACGGAAGGTCCTAAACTAGGTTTCTCTGAGACTGCCTTTCTTATAGCCAAAGGTGAGACACTTTGTTTTAGTCGAATTATTATTATTATTATTATTTATTATCAGTCTTTAATTTGTGTTTTAAAAATGTTTTGATAACAAGAAGCAAAGGTATGTGATGTACAGTACAAGTGAAATCTCCTATTTGAATCTCATTTGTATCTCATTTCTTCTTAGGGACTCTATTGGCTCTGAGATCCAGCTCTGAGTTCAAGAAGAAGGGTGTGTGGACCAGGGCGTATGGTTGGTGATCTCACTGAAAGCTCTGACACACCAAGGACACCATTTGTTTACATGCATATTCAGAGTAGTATCTACATAAAGCAAATGCTTTCTAGTTCCAATACTCTAGTGATAAACCCGTCTTGTTACAAACCAGAATGAACACTGACATGTTTAATAGATTGAAAGTAGGTATACCATAGTATTTGTTAACAAAAAAGGACAAAAGAGAAATGCATAAAAATGGCTTCAGAAAGTATAATTTTCCACTTTCATATATTGCTTGTAAAACGTATTGAACGTTTTTCTGTGACCAATTAAGTATAGAAAATAAACACATCTGTGCCACACCAAGTATATTTTTCTGCTCAAAAGAAGCTTGTGATGTTCGCATAAATTTACTTTTAACAAAGACTTGAAATCCAGCTCAAGCTGATTTGAAACTTTGTAATTCATTGTATCCTTTAACCGAAAGCCTTCTCGTTCCCATTAGACAAGCTGATGTACAATGCAGATGCCTGATGGTCCGTAATTGTAGCTTATGCTAGCCATGGGGCCTGACCGACATATAAAATGTAACCTAAACAGACTAACATGCTTTAAAGTGGTAGAGTGATGGTTTACAGTGTTTTTTTTTCTTCCATGTGCAGCATTGTCATGACGTCATTTTCTTTAAGCTCCAAATGTATTAGTCACATAACATTTATGGCTCATGCTCTGGCCATTGTCTACAAGAAAATATACAGGAAATCACACATTAGTAGATTTTAAAAATACACTACTGTTCAAAAGTTTGTGCTCAGTAAGAGAGCAGTACTTATATTCAGCAAGAATGCATTCATTTGATCAAAAGTGACAGTAAAGACATTTGTAATGTTACAAAAAATATATATTTCAAATAAATGCTGTTCTTTTTAACTTTCTATTCAAATAATCCTGAAAAAAATGTATCACAGTTTCCATAAAAATATTAAGCAGCAGAATATGTTTTCATCATTGATAATAATAAGAAATTATTTCTGAAAGATCATGTGACACTAAAGACTTAAGTAATGGCTGCTGAAAATTCAGCTTTGCCATCTCAGGAAGAAATTACATTTTAAACTATATTCAAACAGAAAAAAAAATGTTATTTTAAATTGTAATAATATTTCACAATGTTACTGTTACTGTTTTAAACAAATAAACACAGACTTCTTTCAAAAACGTTTGAACAGTAGTCTATATATTTGCAGTGAATCCAAATGCAATTTGTTCGATCCATCAGTTTGTTTGAAAGAATTTTGTGTTGTCTTTTTTTGTTTTTTCAATTTTGTGTTGTTCCATCAGATTTTCCTGGCTGAAGATTGCCATTTGTTAAGGCAATAGTTCAGAACCGTCATGCAATGATTGGTCTGTCACTTTTGAGAGGTATGGAGACAGTCACTTTAATTTGACAAATAAAGGTGCAGCCATTCACATCTTCAGGAGTTTTTTGCAGCATTACTGCTGAGCTTAAAGGGTTAGTTCACCCATATTTTTGATGAAATCCGAGAGCTTTCTGATCCTCCATAGACAGCAATGGAACTTTAGGTTACTAATTTAACCCCAGTTCTCTGATAACATGAAGTGAGGTATCTCACTTGTGAAACTCAGCTCAACTCAACTCAACCGTTATTTATAAAGCACATAAAACTTTCAAAACCATAAAAATGGACCAAAGTGCTGTACACAAGCAGTATATAATAAAGATAAAAAAACATAGGAACAAAACATAAAATAAAAGACAAGTCATTCACAATTGTCCTGACCAATCAAATGCCGAAAGCCTGATAAAACGAGCAAGTCTTTAAGTCCTTTTTAAAAATGTCCATGCTTGATGAGGATTTTACAGATAATGGCAGAACATTCCAAAGTGCTGGAGCCACAACAGAAAAAGCGCGATCTCCACTCCGCCTCAGACAAGACCGTGGGACAGTCAAAAGCAAGCTCTGAGAGGAGCGCAATAGTCGATGCGATTGGTAAGGGACCAACATATCCCTTATGTACTCAGGAGCCAGATCATGCAGAGCTTTATACACAAACATCAACAACTTGTATTGTATTCGATATTTTACAGGAAGCCAATGCAAAGATACCAACACAGGTGTTATATTATCCCGTTTTCTAGTGTTAGTTAAAAGTCTTGCTGCATCATTCTGAACATAACCAGAGATTCACTTATTCCAAAGTATAAAGCATTACAATAGTCCAACCGCGTTGAAATAAAAGCATGTATAACGGACTCTAAATTCTTGTTCGAAAGAATAGTTTTTAGTTTGGACAATTTCCTTAACTGAAAAAAGGATGTTTTCACAACAATTTACTTGTCGGTCAAGATGGATTTCAGAATCAATAATTACTCCCAAGTTCCTTACATAACCACATAGTTCATTGGACAATTGTCCCTGGCTTCCGACCATACCTTTCTGAAACTACTTGTTACCAAACATAATAAACTCAGTCTTCATTTAATTGAAGAAAATTATTTGCAAACCAAGCCTTAACCTCTGCCAAGCACTTGCAAAAGTTTGTTTAAGAAAAACAACCGTCAAGCTCTAAAGGAAAATACATTTGCAAATCATCAGCATACAGATGATAGTTAACATTGTATTTCCTAAAAATTGACCCCAGGGGCAGCATATATAAAGAAAACAAGGTTGGACCAAGAATAGATCCCTGTGGGACCCCACAGGAGAAAGTAGCAGATAACATAATTTCCAATTTTAACAGAACAAGTCCTATCCTGCAAATAAGAAGAAAAGCACTTAAGTGCAACACCATTAATTCCAACGTAATCTCTAAGACGTTCTATTAAAACAGCATGATCTATAGTGTCAAAAGCAGCGCTCAAGTCCAACATCATTAGGGCAACACCCTTCCCGGAGTCAATACTCAAAAATATATCATTAAAATCCTTAAGAAGCACTGATTCTGTACTGTGCTTCCAGACTGAAAGACATCCATTATATTATTCTTTGTCAGAAAATCAACAAGTTGGTTATGCGCAACTTTTTCCAAGATCTTGTTCATAAAAGATAGTTTTGAAATAGGCCTAAAAAAAATGTAAATCCTGTTGATACAGATTTGCCCTTTTTAAAACTTGTTCAATAGTCGCACACTTAAAGCCTAGTGGCACTCATCCAAAAAATAAACTACTATTAATAATTCTTAAAACACTAGGGCCAATAGTATCTATGACTTCTTTAATCAGTTGTGCCGGGAGAACATCATAACAAGAGATAGTTGATTTTAAATGCAGTACTATATCCTTCAACTGGGCTAAAGAAACCTGTTCAAAGTTACTCAAACAGTGAGAAAAAATCCTTACATTGGCTGTAAGATTTCCTAAAGACAAAATGTTAGACCGAATAGCATAAATTTTACCAATGAAATACTTTTAAAAACTCTCACAAAGATCCTTAGATGGAGTAGGAAAAGCATTAATCGACGGACTTAGTACCTTATCTATAGTTGCAAATAATACCTTCGGGGTTATTTACATTCTGCAAAATAATTTGCGAGAAATATGAAGATCTGGCAGCCTTAACAGCATCTTGTGGAAGCACCAATGACACCACGTCTGCCAATCACAGCCAATCTGTCAGCCCCTCCTCCTGCCGGTTGGGATGCGATATCTTAGCTGCGGCCCTGTGACAGACCTCCAGCAGATCTGTGTCCACCTGTACAGGGGAGGGTTAGCTCTTATCCTGTGCACTCAACAGACAGGACTGATTTGGGGGGAGAATGGCATCTTCGTTGTCGTCATCGTCATCCTCATCTTCGAGGATTGTCGACAGCACCTTGTCATCATCACTATCCATCATATCTCCCAACGAGTTTGAGGAATGTGGACACTCCATAGGTTCCTCTTTGGGTTGAGCAGAGAGGCATGGGTCCGACTTTCCTGTGGCTGCCACTCTCCTTTCTTGGGTTTTAGTAGAGAAAATTGAGCAGTGAGGGCAGACCTCGGGGTTGTATAGCGCTGCCTGAGCATGTTTAGCGCCCAGGCAGGAGATGCAGAGACTGTGTGAATCCTTGGCAGAAATCCGCACTCCACAGCACAAGGATGTGGAGGATGGCCTTTCCCTCCATGGCTTTATGGCTCTTTCGAGGTGGCCATGAAGGCATCTGTACTCTCTTCGTACAGTAAGTCCACCACAACGCGAAAACTAGTACGGAGCTGTGCTAAGAGTAGAGAGCTCGCTTTTTCCCTCTTTTTAGTGCGTGACAGCTTCCGAAATCTTCCACGGGGAAGAGAGCGAGAATGGTGAGACGGCTGGTAGCTGCAGTTTATATACAAGGAGGCGGGACTCCCTGATCGCTGCAGCCATTGGTCTGCCGTGATTGGCAGACGTGGTGTCATCGGTGTCAATCCGTCACACCTGGGATGTTCCCATAGTGAGATACTGAACGAATGTTAGAAAGAGAACTACCATGTTCAAGGCCCAGAAAGGTAGTGAAGACATTGCTAAAATAGTCCATGTGCCATCAGTGGTTCAACTGTAGTTTTATGAAGCTATGAGAATACTTTTTGTGCGCAAAGAAAACAAAAATAATGATTTTATTCAACAATTTCTTCTCTTATGTGTCAGTTGACGTGCGTTCACAAGAGTACCACGACGCATGCGTGTGATGATGCTGCTGATGCAGGAGCCGGCGTTCTGACGTAGAACCCAGATGCGCTGTGGCTTGTTTGCAAGCAGAGGAATGCACACACATGTGTCGTGGTACTCTCGTGAACGTATGTCGAAGACTGATTCAGAAGAGAAAAAAATTGTTGAATAAAGTCACTATTTTTGTTTTCTTTGCGCACAAAAAGTATTGTCATAGCGTCGTAAAATTAAGGCTGAACCACTGATGTCACGTGTACTAATTTTTTAATGATGTCTTCACTACCTTTCTGGGTGTTGAACGTGCCAGTTCCGTAGCTGTCTATGAAGGGTCAGAAAGCTCTCGGATTTCATCAAAATAACAGGTCTTACGGGTTTAGAAATGACATGAGGGTGAGGGGTTTCGTAACTAAATCGCATGTATTCAAAAATTCTTCAAATGCTGCCAGGACACAAACACATTTGATATTATGAGTCATGTTTTGTTTGCAGGTTTGTAAGATCCCTCATTACACATAACTCTCAGGCAAATCTGAGTTTGTTTTGTCTCTCCATCTGTTTCTAAAGAGGATAATCGCCTCATTTCCCTTTCCAGTTTTCACTCTGTATTCAAAACTGCTGATGAAGTAATACCAGGATTATTATACTTAACTAAAACCATTAAAATGTTGTTACTTGAAATTAACTGTAACACTTTATTTTAAGGACCAATTCTCACTATAAACTAGCTGCTTATTAGCATGCATATTACTGACATCCTGGCCTTTTATTAGTACTTATAAAGCACATATTAATGCCTTATTCTGCATGACAATATCTTAGATCCCTTAATCAAATTCCATACCTAAAATTATGACTACTTTAACTATAAATAAGCAGCAAATTAGGAGTTTATCGAGGAAGAAGTATTAATTAATACTTCTTCCTTAAATTCTAAAGTGTTAACAAATAGATTTTAACTAAAATTAAATATTTTAAAAAATGTTGCCACGGCAGAATTTCTCATTTTGATTTAGTTTAACTTGATGCACTAAAATAACTAAAACTACAAGTAAAATAAATTTGATGAAGACTATAGACACATTTGACAAAAAAACAACAAAATGACTAAAAAATATAGGAAAATACTAAATTAT